CCAGTACGCTACGTGCCGATGACGGCGCAGACCCCGGCTTGGAGCCGCCGCTGCCGCCGCTGCGGCGGCCGGCATTGGCCTGCTTCCCACCCCCGCCGCCGCCGCCAGCACCACGACCCGCCGACGCCGGCGACGTGTGTTTGGAGCCGCCACCCCCGCCGCCTCCCCCACTGGGCAGCCGTCGGGAACTTGGGGTCGCGACGGGAGACATGGCACGCAGGGAGTTGGTGGCGCTGCCGGGGCCGCCGCCGCCGCCGGTCCCAAGCTCCGAAACCATATCAACGTCGCCGTAGCCGTCGTCGCCGTCAGCCTCCACCGTGGATGACGTGGTGGCGGCCGCGCGCTGCGCGGCGGCGGCGGCCTCCCTCATCGCTTCCTGCTCCCGCCGCTGCTCTTCGTGAATCTCGTCCACCATTCGCTGCAGGGAGGCCTCCACCGCGTCCCAAGCATCTTTAGAACACAAGATCTGAAGGAACCAGGTTTCGGAGCCCAATGGGTGTGCGCGGGCACGTGCCACGTAACTGGTCGTTGTCGGTTAACTAACTGATGAGGAAAAACAGCAAACTGATGAGGACGTGTACGTGTGTGGGTGTGTGTGTGTGTTACACCTCGGTTGCGTCACCCAGAGTTGAACATGACGCCATTTCGGTCATCTAAGCGGGGTTAGCCTAATAAGCAAGGGATTACCGCTGGGGGGAGGGGAATACCACCCCTCCCATTCCCGGTACATGGAAACCGTTATAATCCTAACGCCCACACACTCCGACACGGACGGCGCAACGACGCACACGCCCCAAAACCCAAACCCAGCCTCCCAGCCCCTCTCTATCCCCCACCCCCCCACCCCCCCCAACCACCCATCAACCAACCAACCACCAACCAACCAACTCGTACCTGCTCCGAAGTCGCCTTGTGCGCTATCCTCGAGGTGCGGTTCATGACCTTGCCGCGGTACGTCATCCTGCCCGTCGCCGCATTCACCTCCACATTGACGCCGCCGACGTGGACGCCCATGCGAGGTCTCGGCCCGCGGGCCGCACCGCGACCGGTGTTGCTATGAGTCGCTGCGTTGGCGTTGGTGAGCGCGAAGCGGTACCAGCGGCGCACCTCCGCTGACCAGGGGTGTGTCGCCAGCGCCTCCCGGGACGCCAGCGCCCACACGAGCGCCGCGGCGGCGTGGCGGAAGGCCGCCAGACAAAGACCTTCAGATGCCTCAACCACGTAGCCGCCGCAGCGGCTGCAGAGCCCCGTGGCGATGGACTGGCGCGGGCAGCGGGGCGGGTGTGTGTGGGTGTGTTCATGTATGTATGTATGTACGTATGTGTGGGTGAGTGTGAGGGAATGTGTGAGGGAATGTGTGAGTTGGGTGTGTGTGTGTGGGTAATGACGTGCAGAAGGATGTCAAACAGGCAGCTACCAGTGTGCCATCCCCCGTGGCTTGAAGGGGGGCGATACGAAGCGTGACAGATATCAATGAACGGGTTCAGAGGTGGCCATGTTATGGATATGGAAACGGTTGAAGGGCCAGCTGCAGAGCGGCGGCAGAGCGGCGGAGAGGAGAGGAGAGGAGAGGAGAGGAGAGGAGAGAGGAAGGCAGTCGGCTTCGGCGCGGCTGTGGGTGTGTGTGTGTGTGTGGGGTGTAAGCACACCGGGGGGGCGGGGGAACGAGGACGGGGGCGGGGGACGGGGGGGGGGGGGGAAAGAGGTGAGGGAATGGTATGATGATCCATAAGACGAGGGGGGTGATAGCGGGTAGGTCTCCCCCTGCGTACCTTGAACTGCTGGAGGGCCTCCACTCCGGGTTGGCCCAACTCCGCCACTGAGGGGGGACAGCGGGGGGAGGGGACCGGGGGGGGGAAAGACGAACCACGTGAACGTGTGAAGCTGCTGCCAAAGAAAGAGTGTACAAGAAGCATGACTGACTAGGGTAGGGTAGGGTAGGGTAGGGGACCGGGGGAAGAGAGATCAAAAAAAAGGGGTTATGGGTATCCGCAACAAGGCGAGGAGGGAATAAGGTGGTGGGATAAGAGAGAGAGAGAGAGAGAAAGAGAGAGAGAGAGAGAGGACTTGAACATGTTGAAGTGATCCCGCGTCCCCTCCCAAGCCGCGACTGATGACATCCCCCATCCACTACCCCTCACCCACGCAGCACTCACCCAGCATGCTTGCCGACGCCACGTGCATGAAGGAGATGGCGCAGGCCCCTGTGGGGGCGTCCTCCGTGCCCAGCTGCGTCAGGGGGATGTTGCGCAGGGGGGCGGCGTAGCCAATCCGCTGCACCAGCTCCCGGTGGACTAGCTGGTAGAGGCAGTAGTGGGCGGAGTCGGTGCCCAGATCCAGATCTGATTCCCCGCTGAATACCGCCTAAGGGGAGGAGGGGGATGGGGAGGGGCGGGGGGCAGGGGGAAAGGGAGGGGAGGGGGAAAGGGAGGGGAAAAGGGGAGGGGAATTTTATGTATTGACGCAATAATTAATTCCATTTACAGAAAGGAGGCAACTGTGCTGACACGCCGCCAATAGCACGAACCTCCCGTTCCTTAGCTCAGAGAGGGGGTAAGGGAAAGCGAAATCATGCAACTATGCAAAGACAGTTAAACAACGCGGACATCGTAAAAAACACTTTTAGGGTTGAAGGGTTATTATTACGGAGCGGAGATTAGAAATGCGTCTTCCCATTTTTTCCATTCCCGCACGCGCCTTCCAACCCCAACAACTTCTGCCCGCGACCGAGATAGTTTAAAACAACCCCATTGCCTCCCCCATACACTTACGTACATACATACATACATACATGCATACATGCAAACACGTCCCGCTCCTGTCGTACCTGTGGCGACCCAGGCAGTTCCAGCATCACTGGGACGAGCGCCTGAAAGGTGGGCTGAGACATGAGGATCATGCCCCCAGCAGCCGCGTCACCAACCGCCTTGGCTACCTTCATTGCCGTACCGCCGTACGCCATGTGGGAGGTTGTGGGGTTGAAGGTGACGTCGGATGCGGTGGTGATGCCCGTGTGTAGTCCCATCCGCACACGGAGGCCTCTGGGGGGCGGTAGGGTCCCGGGGGGGAGGGGGAAGGGGGAGGGGTTGAAGGGGGAGAGGGCGAGAGAGCTGTGAACGAGAGAGAATGAGAAAGGGAAAGAGTGAGAGGGGCCAGGTGGAGAGGCAGATCGTCGAGGGAGGGAAGTGGAAAAACACCCGTACGTTGCGGCTCCGCCAGCAGCCCTAAGATATGCAACCGCGCGCACCCCAAGCCTGAGCCAAGGTTTATCAGCTCCTAACGGGAGGGGGCAGTACACGTGATAAAACACACACACACATGGTTAAAACACACGTATAAGACGCGTCGTGTAGTTATCCCATGATCCCTTTTTCCCTTTCCCTCAACCCCCCCAAAAACACACACACACACAGACTCACACGCGCGCGCACTCCTGTATGTACACACACATATGTATACATACATACACTCGTACATATATATACACATATACACATACACATACATATGCACATGTATGAATATATAAACACGCATGTAAACACGTGTGTATGTATGTATGTATGTATGTATGTATGTATGTATGTATGTATGTATGTATGTATGTATGTATATATGTATGTATGTATGTATGTATGTATGTATGTATGTATGTATGTATGTATGTATGTATGTATGTATGTATGTATGTATGTATGTATGTATGTATGTATGTATGTATGTATATATGTATGTATGTATGTATGTATGTATGTATGTATGTATATATCCTCTCACCTGTACGCGCACCTCGCCGGGGGTGCCGGTCTCATTGCCAGCGGCCACTCCTCCCGGCACCGCTCCTTCCAAGACCGGCACTCCACCACCAGCGCTGAGAGGGGCTGCGAGTGCGCCCCCCCGCCACCAGCCCCGACCCCAGCACTCGCGCGGGAGCCCACCACTGCCGCCCAGGCTCCGCTGGCCTCACCTTGGCTGCCCTGTACGACAGGAAGGGAAGGGAAGGGAAGGGGGGAGGCGGGGGGTAAGGCGAACCACTGGGGAGATGGGGGGAAGGGGGGAGGGGAAAAACACCGTGTCCGGCTGTGATGTACGCACACGTACACCAAAGCATACATGACACACGCACTGAGATATAGTGCATACATACATACATGCCACATACATGCCACTACTACCTGCACTACTACCTGCCACTCCTCTGTGGCGCTGGACCTCCGCTCCGCAGTACGACTACGCGGACCCAGTCCCAAGCCGAGAAAGGAAATACGCCGACTGGCAGGTCCGGAAGAGAGCGGCATCGGCAGCACCAGCGGAGGTGCGCTGGCGGGGCCGCCGCCGCCACCGCCGCCGCCGCGGCCGTTACCGCCGCCGCCGCCAGCCATTGCAAACAGCTGCGAGGCGCTGAGCCGACTAGCGGACCGGGGACCCGAACGCGGCGGCGGCGGCGGCGGCAGCGGCCCGGGCGGATCCGCCAGCCTGGCGGAGGTGGACGCCGATGGCGGCGCCGCGCCCGTTTCCTCGTCTGTGACTGCCGCCAGCGCGGCGCCCAAGTCGATGGTCTGCGGGGCGCCGAAAACACGTGGTCGTGGTGGTGCTGGTGGTGATGGTGGTTATGTAGTGAACATCCCAGGCGCATTCCCTCCATGTCGCTCTCTCTCTCTCTCTCTCTCTCTCTCTCTCTTTGTCGCTACCTTCCTTTCTTTCCACTCGGACATCAACCCGTGCCAACTACTCAGCAGCAAGGGAGCTGTCAGGTCACCGGCCCAAACAGACAAACATACAGCCCACAACAAAGGCCTAGCAACAAAGAGTGCGGGCGGAGGACGCGTCGCACTTTCTCCCCAGGCTTCCCCCCTCCAGACTCACCACCATACGTGCACTCAGGCAGTGACGCCCTCTGCCCACAGCCTCTACCTCCCCCCCTGAGCCCTGATGTGCAGGAAACGGCACAGCGAGAAGAACAGTCCGAGGAGACCCCGGGGGGCCGGCGCCGGAAGACGGTTAGGAAAACGTACCGCAGTTACAGGGAAGTTCTCGTTGGTATTGCATGGTGGTTGCATTTGTACGGACTCGTACGGATTACGGTAGTATAGGGCCAGGGCCAGGTCTCGGCCACGAGACGGCCCCTACCCCCCCCCCGAAAGCGGTGAGTGGGGTTAAGGCACCAAGGACAATACACACACGGGGTATGGTGGCAGAGCGGCGGCGCGCCGCGCCTTTTCCACCAGTACTCTTTCCCACCCCCTACCACCCTGATACTCCCCGCCTAGCCGCCCGCTTTGGCAATCCCACTTACTGGAGCTTCATCGCCGCTTCCAGCGCCGGCGCTGCCGGTGGCGGTGGGCATGAGGACCGCGTGTAGCTTGGATACGGCACCGCTCGCACTGGCCCCGGCCGCGCGAGATCGCAGGCCGTCAGCCAGGATGCCGATCGCCGACAGCTCCGCGCCGCTGTCGGCATCCACGTCACTAGCGACCAAGAAGGCGTTGGCGGCGGCAACCATCAGGCCGCTGGCGGCGCCGGAACCGCCGCCGCCGCCGCCGCCGCCGTGTAGGGACATGTCCAAGGACAAGTTCCCTGTCGCGCTGCGACGCGCCGCTCGGCTAACGCTGCGGTCACGGGTGAGCTGCCGTACGAGTCCGTTAGCACGGGACCAGCCGCGCGCTAGCGTCTGCGATACGGAGCCAACGGTCATGGAGCCTGTACGGCTGGCCGACGGCGACTGCCCGGTGGCGGGTGACATCGCGGCGCCGCCGCCAAACCCGCGGCTGCAGCTGCCGATGCCGCCGCCGCCGCTGCCGATGCCGATAACGGAAAGCTGACCGGCGCTGGCGCTGCCGCCAGCGGCGCTTTCGCCGTCCGCAGCTAGGGTTGCAGCTTGAGGGAGAGGCGCCGAATCCTCAAAAATACCGCCGCTGGACGCGCGTATGTGTCGGCGGTACAGTGTCGGGAAAGGTCGCTGGGAATGGGGGTGCTTGGCGGTGGCATTGGGCTCTTGAATCGGGGCCAAGGACCCGCCGCGAGACCCGCCGCAGCTGCTGTTGTTGTCGCCATCGGGCCCACCAGACCGTACGGCAGAGCTGCTGTACACGCGCACGTCGCGGCCGCGCGCGCGCATGAGGCGAGCCAGCGCAGCGGAGAGGGACGCGCCGCCGCCGCTGCCGCCGCTACCGCCGCTGGCGCCGCCAGCACCTCCGCTGGTCGGTGAGATGACACGCGGCGATGATCCTGCGGCGCGAGATTGCATCAAACTGAAACTGCGCGGGCCGCCGACGGCGACGCCGCAGCTGCTGCTGATGCCCATCGACTCGCTCCCAGCGGCTATCGTACCGCTGGTTGTATCCGGACCGTCGCGACAACTTGCCGTACCAACATTTTCAAGCGAGATCCGTAGGGGGCTGGAGCCAACGGCCGTTGCTTCAACCTCCTCCACGGCTGCTGCAGCTGGGGCTGCCGCCGTCGCGTCAGCCGCAGAGGCGGCGCCGCCAGCGTCAGCCGCAGCGGCGACATCCTCCTCCGCCGTTGCCGCCGACAGCATACCCGGTTCCGCTGGCCTACCGGTCTTCATTACGGCACCACACGTTTCCAGTAATTGAACGTCCTCCAACAATAGCTTAATGCTGTTCGACACGGGCAAGCTGCTGCTGTTCAGTCGTACATGTGTATCGGAATCGGCATCGGTGCCGTACAGCTGGTTGTGCGTCATCACCGGTGACGGCCGCTCCAGGGACGGCGTCCCGTCAGCTCCGCCGGCGGGCCGTCTACACAGCATCTCCCGTAGCCTTTGCCTCGATGAGGCTCCTGACGTGGCGCCGCGATCACCGCCGCCGTCGCTGCTCCCGCCGCCGGAACGACTCATGCCGCCGCCGGCAGCGGGCTCGTCCACGCCGGCAGCGGCATTTGCATTTGCCGCCGTCATGTTGCTAGTCCCGCCGCCACCGGCGGCCCCGTAAGCCTCCGCAGCGGCCGGCAGAGCCAACGGCGGCGGCGGCGACTCAGGCATATCCGCCGCCGCCGTCGCTGTCCCCACCGTTGCCGTACCTCTGCAAATGTTTGGCGGCGCGCTGGATCTTCTGAGGTACGCCTGTTGGATGGTGGTCATTGACGGCCCTCTGCCGTCACCCCGCCCGTCTTCGAGTAGCAGGGCAGACCGGAACTGGGGCACCCGCGGCGCCGGCGGCCTGTGCACCTCCGCGTGTTGCGTGCCGCTGTCGCCGGCGGCCGAAGCCGCCTCCAAAACGTCCATCACCATGGCTGCTGAGGCATTGCTGCTGCCGGCAGCTACGATAGAAGCGAACATAGCCCCCGTCGTAATTTCCGACTCGTACGCCGTAGTGAAAGCTGCCGCCTGGCTGGCGGAAACACCGCCGGCGCTGCCGTCCGTCATCGTACCTGCTGCCGTCGCCGCTGCCTCAGCAGCAGCGGCAAAACGTTTCACGGCACTGCCGCGAAACGTCCCGTCGTACGACGACGGCAGGCGTGGCTGAACCGCGCCGCCGCGGCCGTAACCGACGCCAGCGACGACGTCGCCGTACAGGCCGTGAGTGCGGGACCTACGGTTTCGCTGGTGGCCCCCAGTCGCGGCGGTGGGGGAACTCCGCGCGGCGGTACTCTGCGACGCACCTTGGCTACTGGCAGCTGCCGTAGAATGAGACGGTGCGCCGCCGCCGCTGCTGCTCCCACGGGCTGCTGCTCCCCGGAGCCGGCCGTCTGACGACATCGCCAGCGCCAGCGCCGTGGGCCCGCTGGTGGCGACAAGGCCGCCTTTGGCTGTCCGCAAGGTACCGCTGGGGGATAGCGTCGAGCGGTTGACGGCGCCGCTGCCGCGGCCAAGCCGCAGTAAGCCATTTCGGAACAGGCCGCCGCCCTTGCTGCTACTGCCGGTGCTGACGCCGCCGGCGCCGGTGGTTACGGAGCCAGCGCTCCCCTCCCGACTCGACAGTGGCCCTCCGCCCTCCGCTGTGATGCGTCTCGCGGCGCCCTCGGGGAACCCCGCCTCCGCCGCTGCCGCCGCCGGGTCCTCGATCCGCGGCAGGTGGCTGTACGACCCCGTACACCTAGACCCGATGGGTGACGCTGGCGACGACGGGGGCAACGCTGCAGAGCAGGTTGTTGTATTGGTGGCGGTGGTGGCAGTAGTCACGCCCGGCGCCGCGTTGCCAGCGGCGGCAGCAGCTGACACGGACACCGCCGCCGCCGCCGCACGCGACCGGCTGTGAAAGCTGCCCTGCCGCCAATTAAAGCTGAGCGCCTGGCGCAACAGTGACCGGGCACCGCTAGTAAAGCTGCCGGTGGGGGTCGACGTCGTCAGCGGCAGGGCCCCGGCAGCGCCGGCGCTGTGGCTACTGCCGCTGCGAGCCCCGGCTACTGCCGCTGAGCCAAGCCGCGGCGTCGGCAGGACACCGCCCGCCAGTATCCTCCCGCCAAAGGACTTGGATCGCATCACATCCGGGGGTAGATCTGCACGCCCAGTGTCGACGCTGGCGCCGTCGCCGCCGACGGCTCCAGGTGCGCGCCGGCGGTGCGAAGCGCTGGCGGGCAATCGAGGCATTACCTGTCGGTCGCTAAAGCCCTGCAGTGACTGGGGACGGTAATCCTCCGGACTCTTCACGGCGACGCTGGCGGCGCTGATGCGCAGGAAGCGGCCCATCCGCGACGACGGCCGGCCGCCGCCAGCACCGCCTCCGCCACCTCCGGACGCAGGCACCAGACCCAACATGGTGCTCATACGGGAGGTGAAGGAACGCAGCAGGCCGGAGCCTGTACGGCCGTCCCCGCCGTACGTCAGGTCCTCCGTGTCCACCTCCGAAGCCGACAGCCGCTCCACCTCCGCTGACCTCACCGCTCCGGGCGTTGCGACCCCAGCGGAGTGAGGGCCCGCAGGCACCAGAACCTTGACAGACTTCGCGCGGCCGGTCCAGCTGGCGCGAAGGAAGCCGCCGCCACCGCCGCCGCCATCACCGTAGCCGCTGAAACCTATATCGCTAGAGCGCTGAATGGCGCCGCTGGCGGCGGCGGTGGCAGCAGCGGAGATCATCCTCCCCGCTGAGCTGCGCTGTACGGACATGGAGCCGCCGCCGCCGCCGCCACCGCCGCCAAACTCCGCATGCAGTGAGGAGCTCATGGTGTTGTAGATGGAATGCAGGGAACCCGCGTTCGCCAGCTCCGCTGAACGAGGGACCACCCAGACTGAAGAAATGCACCAGGGAGGGGGTGACGGCGACGGCGTCGGCGGAGGAAGGGAAGGGAGGGAGCGCGTTGGCGGGACGCCGTTACTATGTTACAGCGTCGCGATGCCACAAGCAGCAGCGACGACAGGAACAATGGCGACAGGAAAAGTTGTCTGTCTGTGTGTCTGTTATGGTGCGGTGCGGTGTGGTGTGTGTGTAGGGCGTAACAAGAACGGTGGCAATGGCGACAGAGACGATGAAGATACCCCCAACTCCCCAAAGCTCCCCAAACTTCCGTATCTGAGTACCTTCCTGGCCATCAGGGTGCGCCAGCACCTCCGCCGGCCACATGACGTCCTGAAAGGCCGGTTGGCAGGTCGGGAAGGCGACACAGGGGGTGCAGGTGCAGGTGCAGGTCGAGAAGGAGGGCGGGGGTGGCAACAGACAGGGGTTAGGCAGCGGGCAACACAGCAGGACCGGAAGTCGAGCAAGGGAGAGGGTTTGTCGCGCTGCAGTTAGGGCCCAAGGATGGTTTAGAGTCCGCCAGACCAAAGCGCCGCAACCTCCAATCCCCATCACACACATACCTACATACATACATACATACATACATACATACATACACATACCTACATACATACATACATACACGGCTCATACATACTCAGGTTAGGCACGGACCATTGCCCCCGGGATCGAGACCTATCAGGGTCGAAAATCCTTCCGATGGTCGAAGGTAAAGTGCCCCTAGTCGATGGACGGTGGTGACCTGGGATAAAGTTGACCTGCGAGCTGACCAGGTATGGAGTTGGGCCGTCGTCGACCCGGCAGATTCCGTTGGATGCCGGTGGTGGGTGCTGAACCTGAGCGATCCACTGAGAAGTTGACTAGGGTGGCTGGATGAGGGTGCCCCAAAATACCGGGGAAGGCAGGGTTTCACAGCATAGCGGCCACGGGTGAAGATACACCCCCCCCTGTCCCACATATCATACACGGCTATCCGTCCCTCCTTCCCAGCGTCCATCCATCAAGCCGCCCAACCCCCAGCCATGTACCCACCATTAACTGGAACTGGGCGCTCAGGGCGAACTTGGCGGCGTCTGCCGGGTAATGGAAGGCCAGGATGAAGGAGTCACCCTGGGCAGACCGGGAATCAACAAACGGAGATCAACATGACCTCCGTGAAGATAGATTCGGCGGAAAAAGGAATGAGGTCTGGACGATGAGCGCGCGCACGGCAGGCGGCGCTTTACCCCGCCCAGCTCCCCACCCCCCGCCCAGCTCCCTCCCCCCCTCCCCCGCGGGGTCCGCCACCGCCACCGCCGCTGCCACCCGCCTCCCAACGCACCTCCGTCGCACTCTCGTACCCATTGAAACGCTGCAGCAATGCGCGAAGACATGCGTGGTGTAACTTGAGCGCCTGGTCCATGACCTTGTGGAGCAGACAAACAGACAGATAGACAGACAGGAAGATCGTGAGGTGTGTATCGGCAGGCAGGCAGGCAGGCAGGCAGGCACAGAGCAGACAAAAAACCGACAAACAAGCATGCGAACATACATACATACAGGTAATAAGGACCGCAAAGCGAAAATCTGACATAGAAAGCTACGACAGATAGGTACGTTGCCGAAACGCACAGGACGGGACGAGCTAAGCCGACCGACACACGGCTTTGAGTCGTTAGGCACGCGGTAGTCAAGACCTCCAAAAGTCCTCCCACTTAATTTACCCAGTTGTCACTTCCGGCCCCGTCCCTATCCGCCATATCCGCCCCCGTCCCTCACCCCGCCCCCGTCCCTCACCCCCCGCGCCCACCTCCTCCGGAAGCGACTCCCACAACCCGGTCGAGTTGGCAATGTCCGTTATCAGCAGCGTCGTCATAGGGCCCACTCCGGGTGCGCGCTGTGCGCCGCGCTCCTGGATGTGCCGCCGCTGCAGCCGCCGGTACTTGTACAGCACCACCGCCAGCGCCACCAGCAGCACACCAGCCACCGCCAGCACCGCCCACAGCGCGCTCTGTACGACAAACAGGCGGCGAAGAGCACCACCAGGACAAAAAACGGTATGGGTCCGATATGGGTCCATCGCGTCATGCGACACTGTTGCCGTACATCCCCGTACGACAAAACACACGTGTGTGTTTCCCCCCGACCTCGGGTGGACGGGACGGGAGGGGGACCAGTTGTGCATGGATGGGGTGGGCGGGACGCCAGGATGCGGTGGTGTGGTGGCCTCGCGCGCACGGATTGCGTACTGGATTACCGGGTTTAAAAACACACTCATGCGGAGTGCAGGAGTCGCAATCCCGTGTGTCGCAACCGGAGCAACAGGACACGCATACATACACACGTGGGTACACGCGGGTACAATCGGGTACACGGATGCATTTCCCATCGCGGGTACAGGCGCTTGTCGTACCGCATCGAGTTTATCCCGACGTGACATTTCTTTACCCCAACATCATCTTAGGTAAGCAAAACCCAGATCAGATCAGATCAGATCAGGTCAGACCAGCGCTTCCCGACCTCTGCGTCTCAAGGGTTGCACCCGGCCCTTGTTGGCCCTGGCCACCTTCGCCCTGGCCGACCCAACCCAGTTTGACCACCTGGGCCCGGAGCCCTGGCAACACACTGCCCACCTCCTACTGCGCTGGCGGCGGCCCCAACCGCCCCCCTCCGTACACCCGGGGAAGTGCTTCCGTACTGCTAAAAGTACCATCCGTACACCCTCCTTACCCCCAGCCCCCTGTACCTTAAAGCCCGATGCCCCAGGCTCGCCAGAGGGACCCTGCACACCGGCCTTGGGTGACGGCAGCGGCGGAAGTGGCAGCGGCGGAAGTGACAGCAGCGGCTGCACCGCCGCCGGCGCCGGCGAGGGGGGTAGGTCGTCCGCTGGGGACTGCACCGCTAACGCTTTCCTGCGTTCCAAACATGCCGCCACAGCCGCAGCCGCCGCCGCAACGGCCGAGCTGTCGGTGCTGCCGAGACAGGCCTTATCGATCTGGGTCGGGGACGCGCTGGCTCCGTGTACGACCAGCAGTAGCTGGAGTAGCAGCAGTAGCAGCAGCAGCATAGGCGAGGTGGCTTGCTGCCCCGGGGCCCTATGCCTCCCTTTCAGAGGCGCGAGCACTAGCAGAGACCCCGCCGACATGCCCGGCAGCAGCACGGCTGTAGCGCGCACGGGACAAGTCAGGCCTGGCAGCCAGCAGCGCGGTGCTACCCGACGATGCCTCCGAAGCAATAGCACGCCGCCGGCGGTGGCACCGCCGTGGTGCTTTTGGGGCTTATGCTGCTGGTGGCGGTGGTGAGGAGCCCTGTGACCCAGATGCGGCCATGTATGTGCGTCCTCGTCCTTTGCCAGGTTGAGATGCCGACTTGCGCTAGGCAGCCGTTGAGAGCCTCCAAGGCCTGCGTTGGAGGTGCGATCGTGGCAGGTGCCACTGGCGCCGCCATCGAAACTGCTTGCGTCGCTGCTGATTTCGCGTGAATTGGATTTCTGCGACGCTAGGGGCCGGATTTCCACTGCCAGGTCCACATCGAGGAGGGGTAGCTGGTGGCTGGTCAAATGTGGACTGCTTGATACGGATGATGGGGCAGTGTGTACTGCAAAGCTGCTGGTATTGCTGTGGAGGTTTAACCGGCCTTCAAAGTGTGTCGGACGGCGGGATAGGGCCGGTAAACTGGCCCAAGGGAGAGTGGGCTTGGGGGTTGTCGTCAACTGATGACTCCGAAGTTGGTTGCTGCCAATGCGTACGCCCCCAAAGAAGCTACGATTCTTAATAGCAGTATGCCAAAGAGCAGCGTAAAACTTAACTTCCGTGCTCACGACGTCCTGAGCTCCACCACCGGCGCTGATTCCCAGCGCCACGAGGAAGAGAATGAGAGCAACGTTCGATGTGATGAGCTTCCATAACCTCCAAAGCTCAGGAATGATTGTCATACTTTGATTCCACAGACCGCCCCGTAACCACTGTGCGGCATTCACAACTCCCTGCCCGGCTCCCGGGCAGCACCATCCGTCACAAATGCTGTTGTCTGATTACAATTCATCCTGGCAGACTTGCGGTTATTAGGTGGTCCACAGCAGAGGTCCACCTCCGCAAGTGGGTATAACAGGCAGCCAACCAACGAAAAATGTTTCATTTTCCTAATGCCATGAAGTAATTAAAATATGTAAGTGACGAGGGAACTGGGCGGTGCGCAGTATATTCATGCATGGAGGTCTGCGTTACCCGTCACTTTTGTCTGTTTCTTCTAAATTTCGATTTCCAACTAATCTACATGAAGGACAAAGGCAAGTGTACGCACCCAGTAAAGTATGAGCAGTTTTCCGACCAACCGAAACAACACACAAGGTTTGACATTGGGCAGCCCCATCCCCGGTTGCCGAGGGTCATTGGCTTGGCTCTGAAGGCCATCTTAGTCAGTAGCCTTCCACAAATGTTCGTAAAGTAATAATGTTTTTGGCTTTCCACCCTTCATCCAACTCTGTGGTGCAATTGAGTTATAACGAGTTACATATGAAAATCGCCACAAAAGGGCGTTTCTGTCAACCGACAATGAGCTTCCTATGAAAAAGCTGTTTGAGGCTCAATCAATACAAATGACGAAACTTCTTGGGCATGGCTTCCAGGAAAAGATTTGGTATCCTGCTGATTTTACAGAGTAGCTTTATTACGATGACTGGCGCTCCCACAAGATGCAAAACTATGCCCTGCTCCATCTGAGGGTGGTGAAACTGTGCGTAAGGCCACCATCCATGAGCATTCATCATCGGACTGGAGCGCCGATTCACGATTGATTTTCTAGGAATAAGTGAGATCCAAACCACGGATTATGGGCTGATCCAGTGGAGACGAGGGTACATATTGATTCAAGACATTTCAAAGTGACTAACGCCGAAATGGCCGTACGATGTAAATTCAATCCATCAGCCCTCAGCTGGCTAGCGTAGAGGTTCATCATGGCCGGAATATATAATGTTCAGAGACCATCAGGCCTCGATCGCACATTTGGGAGCCGCACTAGGCCATCCATGAGTCCTGTAGGCGTTCGCTGCGCGCAACTCCAATCCGTGTTTGACGTTGCCCTAAACGTAGAATCTCTCACGGGCTCGGGTGCAACTGCGCTGCGCCGTCTATACGCCTTCACAGCCGGGACTGCCAGGTGCCGAGTGGGTCCGGAGCTAAGCCAAAAGTACGGCGTGGAATCAGATAACGCGCAATTGGTGGTGTCAATCACAAATAAGGCTACTCTTGAGCAAGCCTGGTACGTGCACGTGGGCCGACCTAACCCTCGGGGATCACAGGCCCTCTGGAGATTAAGAGGCCGGGTGGGGACGTCTTTTTGGTGGCGGTGTGGAAACCAGGAGCAGCCAGGAGGGGGGGAAATGACGTGGCCAGGTGAGCCACGTAAGCTGGAAAGGCACACAAAAGATACGGATTACATTGGAGTTTGTGATGTACATTGAATCTTGGGAAGAATGCTGATTCAACTTGTTTCATCTCTCTCTCTCTCTCTCTCTCTCTCTCTCTCTCTTTCTTTCCCCCTTTCTCTTTCTGTGTGTGAGAGAGCGAAGAGATGGAGAGTTAGTTAGGTTAGTTTTCCCACCATGGGTGCCACTCATCGGTCATGACTCAAGGTTGAGGGGGCGTCTCTTGTCTTGTACGGCACGGCACGGCAAATCGTCCGGGGCGTCAGCTGTTGCAGCTTGTGGTGCAGTTTCACTTGCTGGTGGCTGCGAGCGCGGGCAGTGATCGCTGCCACCACGTCCAGCCGCGAGGGTCCTCCTGCCACAACCGCCCCCCAACGCCTCGGACTGCCCCGAGGGAACAACATCGCCATCATCGCCATGAAGAAACACCTGCCCTGTCCCACGGGGTGCACTTTCAAAGATACAGACAGACAGACAGACACATAGGCAGACACACAGATAGACAGACAGACACAACATGACGGGTGTGTCTTGTACCGCGCACAACAACCGGCTGCAGCTCAATACGCATATGGGTTGCTTGCTACACATGCTCATGCTCATGCACATCCACATGCTCATGCTCACAGGTACAACGAGGTCCGCACTCGCAAGCCCCAGACGTTCAAGTCGGATGCTGCGGCGCTGGTCGACCCCACGGACGGCGGCCGCACGTGCGACTTCTGCAAGTGGAGGACCCTCACGGCCGAGGTGGGGGGGGCCCCCGGGGGGGGGCGGGGAATACCATATATGCAGTGCAAAAGTCAAAGAGGGACATCTGCCTGGGGGCCGTGGGGGCGATGTGGCTTTTTGTAACACACTGGAAAACGGGGTGTGTGTGTGTGTGTGTGTGTAGGCGGACAGGGCAGGGCAGGGCAGGACAGGGTGTTCATGTCTTTGTCTAGACTGACTCTTTGCTCCACTGGGGTCGTTAAGCCCTTTGCCCGTAACGCGAGGGGGGTTTCGCTTTCCTGGGAGGTATCCCGAGAGCTACAATATGCACGTCACAAGTCCCGAGGAAAGCCCCCGGGGGCGCGGGGGCCCCTACGGGAAATCTGTAATCGCCCTCGTCTTCCCCTCTCTCTTCTGCTTTTCACCGCAACTCTTTGGCCCCCGGGCAGGACGCCTGGGGCCGCATAGAGCGGGCTCATGCCGTGACCGCCTCCAACCTCTTCAAGTACGGCGAGCCTGCCCACGGGCTGGTCCTATTTAAGCACCACGACCCGTTGAGCTTCTCGCGGGAGCAGTTGGCGGACTTCCTGGCTGTGTCCGCGGACTGGTTCGCTGTGGCAGCTGCAGCGCATCCTGATGCGCGCCACCCGTTCTTCATCTGGAACTGCGGGTCACGCGCGGGCGCCAGTCAGTTCCACGGGCATGGGCAACTGATGCTGACGACGGCGCCCGTACCGGCCCAGGTGAGAAGATGGATACGAGTCGTACGACTACCCTCAGACTAGCGAGGGTAGAGAGGGTTAGTGGTAAGGGTGTTAGCGGGACACTAATGTGATGGGCCCCCCTTTGTCGTCCGGCGTCTTCATTCACGACCACACGACCTGCATTGGCAATAATAAAGGATAAATTGCAAATCTGTATGTAAGTATGTATGTATGTCCTCCCTGATGGTCCTGGCTGCCGTGACCTTCCCCCAACGCAGGCCCGTCTGTTGCAGCAGGCCGAGCTCCACTCAGTGGCACATCCGGGCACGTCCCTCTACCGTGATTTGGTGCAGGCGCATGCGGCGGTGGGGCTGGCAAGGGTGGTGGGTCGAGGAGCAGACAGGTGGGAGGCGCTGCGAGGTACCGAGGTCTTGTGTATCGCGGTGGACTGTGTTTTCGCTTGGGAGCGCAGAACTGCGGCCTCAATTTCTTATATATTCTAAATGGCCGTCCGTCGTCATTACTGTCGTCCATGTGTACCCCATATGCCACCTCGGAAGCGGCTGGCTGACGGTTTGTTGCCCCTTGTTGCGGAGGGTGCTGTCTGTCCAGCTGTTACCATCAATCGGCTTATCGTTTAACTCCTCAACTAATCAGCCTGATCACCTGGCTTCATTCTCCCGATCTGCTTCCGTTGCGATTGGCATCGCTGTGCATCCTCGCTTCCTTATGGGTGCTCTATGCTGTGGGTTGATGTCTTTACGTCGTGCATGTATGTATGTATGTATGCAGCATGTATTGTATGTCATGGTATTGTGTTGTGTGCTGCTCTTCGTGGTGGTGGTGGTGGTGGTGATGTGCCATTGCGTTGCTCTGCGTCTGATCTCCGATATGCGGATGACTGTGATGCTCTCCCCACCAGGTGCTGGCTGGTAGCTCACCTGGCGCCCCAGAAGGACATGGAGGTGCTGCTGCTGGGGGGGGCCCTCACCAGCCCGGCCTTCGTGGCGGCACTGCACGCGGCGCTGAGGGCGATGGTGGACGGTCTGGGCGTGCAGACTTTCAATTGCGGTGTCCTCAACGTCCCGCTGGTACAGCAACAGCTACAGCGACAACAGCAGTGCCATGAAGAGGCGGTGGTGGCGGGGGTGGCTGTGGATGGCCCGGCGGGAAATGGGGAGGCGGAAGCGGGGACGATGGCCAAGGCGGCGGCGGCGGCAGCAGCTTTGGGCGGGGCTGGCGACAGTGAGGATTTGTGGGGTCTGCCGCCTGCGAGTGAGGAGTGGCGACCGATGATGGCGAGGGTGGTGAGCCGGGGCAAGGTGATGTCTCCCGCGAGCGACTTTGGCTGCCTAGAGGTTATTGGGCACGCGTCCATTGGTCACACGGATCCGTTCCTGCTGATTCGTATGATTGACGAACAGCTGGCAGCGGTGGAGAGGTGTGAAGGTCGGCAATGAGCGAGACCAACCTTGTGCGTGCCTTGTCCCTTAAGTACGGAATGGACGGAAATCAGCGGATTTTGAGAGGGAAGAGAATGGAAGTGAGCTACAGGTAGGCGTCATTTGGGCAGTTGGGAGTTATCGGTGTTAGGAAGCATAGGGCCGAGAGCAGAAGCCCGCCTTCGGGGTGCTAGGATACCTGTTGGGGGTTTAGGTCATGAAGCGTAATTAGGAAGACAAGAATGTCTATTGTATGGTGGCTGTACAACGCAGCTTTTGTGGGGAGCATGGGCCTCTGCGCTACAGTAGCAGTCACTTCCCGGTGGTATCACCTACAGCGTGCATGATGCGGATGCTCTACTGCATGGACAGCGCGCTTGCGCGTGTACTACGAAGGATTTCGTTTCTTATCCGGAAAGACTCAGCTGTGCGGATTATCGCGAGGTGAGCTGTGCTAGAGGGCAGATGGACGCGGACAGATGATCGCTGTCCAGGAGGGACATGAGGTGTATTTCCTTGTCAGTCAGGTGCAGTGCGGCTGAAGCCATCAGGTAATGATGTACAAGGTAGTCAGGTAGCTAAGCACGATGCCAGTGAGGTAGTGGATAGATGATGTAGTGCAGTGCATTACAGCAGGAACTTGATTGCACACCCAGAAACCCGGCATGGCTTCATAATCCGACAGTGTTGCAGTGAGTGGACCCATAGGGCTTCCCAGTGCAGACCGGATGTGATCCGTGTCTCAGTCCATGACTATCAAACATGCAGCAGACAGTACATGCGTGAAAATGGCGTGCGGAAAAGGGTGCTCGTGGCGGCACATACACTTAAAAAACCATAGTCGTGTCGTGTGTCTGAATCGCTGTCATGCTGCAGTATACAGGTACTCCCGTACAGTGCAGAAAAATTACATCAGCACAGGCAGGCAGATCAGCCCAAATTCTGCAGGGCCGCAGCTCCCATCCTTGTCCTCAAGCAAAAGCATATGGTACACAGTCATCGTGTGCGTACATATGGCCCTACGTGCCCCTAGATGCTGGCTGCAGCTCCCAGCACTGGTAGATAAAAGAGCCTGACCGAAAGCACGAGCACAGCCGAGCATGCAGAGTGGCTATCTTCGCCGCTTGGGCTGCGAGGTGCTTGCCGCGCCGCTGGCCGCTGCGACGTTACAGTTTTCCTGCTCCAGGGTCATGGACTGCGCGATTGCGCTGAGATGCTGCAGATCCGCCTCCACAAGACGCCGCACCTCGGCGCGATACGCCTGCGGCACGGCCGCCAAGCCGTTGAGATCGTCCACCGTGAAGCTCTTCCCATCTGCCGTGGCGTGGGATGTGCACGCAATCAGTAGTACATAAGTACAAGGGGGAAGAGGAACTCCGAATAAATGCATTGGCCCAACGGCAGGCTGCGGATGGAAAGGAATTCGGCGTTTCATCGCGCCGTCATACCACAATGCCCTGCGTTTGAAGTCAAAGCTAAAGGATTGTACGGGCCGTGCACATGGTCCCGGAGCTTTCCTATACGCCATGGCCGTGTTTACACAGCGACAGAACCTATGGAAAAGTGTCACCAATACACAACCTGTTACCCATTCTAGCGCGCAAACCGGTTGACCTGAAAGCGCTATCATCCAGGACTTGTGGCTTCCAAACGCGAAGTTTTGACCTCACCTTGCGTAGTCACAGTGACTACACGTGCAGACTGCTTGCCACGGCCGCGTGTAGGAGCCACCCGGCGGACCTTACACGCCGGCAGAGTCACCATTGACTGTGGCGCGGCGCCGCTGGTCCCCCCCTCTGGCGCTACATCTGGTAAGTAACAGGGGGCAACAACCCCAGTGGCTGCATTCGCTCCAACGGCCACCTGGCCGATGTGGATCGGGGAGCCTGGAGCAGGGGACGCGATCACGTGCAACGCTATCAGCTGGATGGTGTTTCAAACCAGGAGGACAGGTATGGCTAAGAGGACCATCCCCAAAGTCATTCGTAGCGAGAAGGGAGGAACCGGTTGCGGGGCCAACCCTCCCCGGTGGCATAAAAAGGATACGACTAATGCCAATGCAGGGTGTAGCTGAAGCATGTGCGGAAGTTTCGTCTGGGGAAGTTTCACTGCCTACAAATGGCATTTCACAATGAACATTCCAACCAATGCGCAAGTCTTACCGTTGGCCGAATAGAACACTTCGTTGGCCATGGGCAGTCGGGGGGCCTGGTTTACCGCTGCCAAGGGAGGCCGCGGCGGTGGAGGTGGCATCCGTGCCACTTCCGGCGCCAGTTTTGAGGGACTGAGAGCGGGAGCCTTGGCGCCCCCTGTGCTGCAGGATGGCCGCTGCATCTCTTGCCCAGTTTTTGTCTTCTCCGGCTCCTCCTGCACATGTTGCTGCTCCTGCTGCGTATGTGGGTTGCTTGCAACCAGTTGCTGATCCTGATGCTGAGGCTGTGCCTGATGTGACTTAGGCTGCCGCTGCTGTTTCCCCACGTGCACTGAAGAGCTGGGGCCGGCCATGTCCATGGGTTGCGGGGCCCCCGCCGCCGTCATCGCTGCAACGCTCGACGCTACAACGCGAGCTGCATCCACGCTGTCAGGATCGTCGGGACTTCCAACCAGAGCCTGCAGACGTGGCAAAAGGTTGTGCAGGACGCTCGATGCTCCCTCCGCGGGCGTAAGCGAAAGAAAGTCCACGACCGATGTGTTCCGGACCTGTCAACACGCGAGGGGAAAGCTGTTGTTGATACCATCACACCTGGTTCGGGGCCACAATACCGGCAATGCCGCACCTGCTTGGATAATCGGCTTATTATTGTGGCTTCAACGTCAGCTCGAAGAGCTTGCACCCGCTGCCGAGCAGCCGCGATAAGGGACTCTGCCTTCGACTCCACTGTTACATAATATACACACGCTCTTACTAGGGCTCCAATCGCAACATTCCATTAATCCCAACATACCTTGTTTCTTGCATTCCCTCACAACGGCGTGGACCTGAGCTATTTCGCTCATTTGGCTGTCTTGCATGATTGCGTCCCCATTTTTCGTAGCGATTGGTTTGCTGCTCTTTGCCTCAGCGTCTTCCGCAATGGCCGAAAGCACCGGTTGCACCTTACGCTTCCGTGGAGGCATTCTCCACCGTCAAGCGGTTCAGATTTACAATCTCGTGAATAGTCCAATTATCTAATCCTCACTTGGAGCTGCCTTATGCGGTGCTTCTCCCAGATATTAGCCAAAAGTTAAGCTAGGTACAGGGTCCCTAGAACATGGTCGGCATTAGCGTATTTGCATGCAAGTATCTCTGCCGTGGAAATGTGTGAAAGGAATGCTTGTTGCTGTGCAAAGGTTGACAAGTACGGTAAAAATTCAAAAGTCGTTCCACGCATTTCACGGGCAAGACATAACTTCTAGACGTGCAGTACATAGGACTCCATGGCTCCGGAAGAATGCAGTTTTCGAACGTTTCTACTTTTTCGACTTGAGGCGAAGAGGCCGAAGGCACCCCAAAACTAGTACCCATGCATACGACTTAGGGAATATCCTGTATCTGTTTGCCACCTTTTCCTAGCTATCGCGATAGGTCGGTGGTTGTTCTGCGGGAGCTGTGGGGGCCCCCCACATGCAATGCTGCGATACCAGACTGGTATCGCTGGTATCATACCAGCGATTGCACGACAGGAGACGGTCTGCTCACCCATGACTGCGCTCTCCAAGGATATCAGCGCGCACAGCTTGATATACGTAGTGCACGTTTTACGAGGGCCGCTACCCGCTGGGAATCTGTCGGCAAACAATCGACTTTGCATTGTGTCTACATACCGACCAGTCCTGATTCGATCGTCTACCATCAAGCCATGTAAGCGTCGTCCTTGCTGGCTCACATGCATGGCCCCCCCAGCTGCCCCCACACCCCCTAGGTTCGAGACCATCGCTCAGGTCCCGTGTCTCCTTCATAACCCTCTCGGGTCCATAATGCTCTAGATCCACATTTCTACCTGATGTTGGCCTGGTGACTTCATCCCCTGGAAAAATAGGTGACTTCACTCGCTGACGGGATGTAGCCAACGCGTTGTGGCTAGTGGCAAGGAAAGGCCAGTCATGCGGCAAAAAGGCGACATCGTGAGGGCTTTTCGAACACGTCCTTCTGTCCTCCACCGGCGTCGAGAACCAGGTGCTCCACGAGGTGCTTGTCGTCTGTATTTTATCGGGCATTGTATACAGTAGGCGAGATATTCGGGAAAATAGGTGAAAGGTATATAGGCCAGTTAGGTCTATAATACGTGTAGGTCTACACGTATTATACGAGACTTAAAGGCCCAGACCTAAATAGGGACATAAGTACATGTTGGCCTAATAAAGGACCCTGTATATATATAGAACACCTGACCTTGTTTAGGCTATGCGGTATACCTGCCAGGTATACAGATGGGTCTACACGTGATGTTGTAAACAACAGTGCCTATACAGGTGCGTGTGTACATGAGTGCCTATTACAAGACCGCTATAGGCATCACATAATATGTGATGCTGTTTACATGTGTCATTTGTGTGCAGTAATATATGGGATTTTGACGCTTGCATAGAGGCTCAGGGGATTACAATTTGCACATATTCCACATTCGTTACTATCACACATCACACATGCAATGTTGTCACACATTCCACATACATCACACGTTAATTTTCTGCCTTTGTCAGTCTAGATGACAGCAATCCTGACATAAATCCACATTCTTTCTGGGTACCTCGAAACAAGGAATCTCAGCTCTCAGCCCACAAACCCTCACTCTGCTTTACTAAATGAATAATCCACATGTTATCTGGCCTATTAATGCTGCAACTCCAAAACACAACCAAAACGCTTAACAGAATAAATACTCCGGCACTATCAGCACAACACAAACTGTCATTTCCTACTCCCATGAGCCCTGATTGATCAATCCTCCTCCACCCGGTCGTTATTATCCAGGACGTCTTTGCTATAACATATAACATGTCACAACCATAATGTCACAACCCGACGTCCATATGACCCCTATTAGCCCTACACCGAAATTAGCGCGACCAGTAACTAGAGTACTGTTCGATTTAACTGAACGAAAAGATCGTAATGTGCGTCGCAAAATAATTGGAGTCAAGCGACGCTCAGCCACGGTCAACGTCTTTACACCTAGCAGGAAAACTCCAGGACCTAAGCAGCTAGAGGAGCACATTGCTCAGAGCTGCAGGCCATTCCTGGATGGATGCATAGCAACAATCAAAGCGGAATTTCAGAGCCTATTGGCAGGGCATGTTGACAGATGCCAGCAGACTAGCGATGACATGAAGCATCGCATTAACGACCTGAGAAGCCTAGTCGAAGAGCAGGCAGAGGTTGTTAAAAGCCTTCAGGAGCGGAATGCTGTGTTGCGACAGGAGCTTGATGCCACGGTGGGTGAGCGCAGGCTCACGACGCAACGCTTAAAGGAGTTAAATGGGCGCATTGAAGCCCTCGAGACCGAGCGAAGCACGGCACGAAGTGAGCCAATTATTACGCGAAGCCAATCGGCGGACGCAAAGGCCCTTGATAGGCGGATGGAGGCCCTGGAAAAGCGACTCGCCGAGCACGCCGCAAGCGGGCCAAGGGAACAAGCGGTGCACTGCAGAGGAATGACTGAGAACGTGGACAGCGTTACTGCCCGTGTTGCCACGCTCGAGGAGCGTTTCAATGACTGGGAGCGCACGCGCACAGCCCCGGCAGATGGTGCACGATGTACTGAAGCCACGGGGGGGCGTCACATGGGCCCCAAAGCAGCGCCGCCTGCAAAGCAAGACCAACAATACCGGGAAGAACTCCATAAGGAGCAGCAAGAACGGCCGAAGCAGCAGCAGCCAAAACAGCAACCGAGACCTAACAGAGCCGTCGCTGATACCACCACCTCCAAAGCCCCAAAGGTGACGGCGATCACTACCAGACCACATGAGGTGGCCGCAAGCTGCAGAGGGTTTGGCAAGACAGCAGGTGCCCCTGCTCCCAGGCCCCCCAAAGCACTGGCTGAGTCTTCCAGCAGCACCGATGGACATATAGACCGGGGTGCACTGGTCATCGACGGACTACCAGCTACTTGGACGCAGGAGGAAGTGATCCAGAAACTGCAACTGCGCTTGCAGCAGCTTACGAACATGAAGGTCGCGTTCTTAGATTGCACCGTCGAAGCACACCCGAACGTCGCTGCGCGCAGCAGCAAGCGGACAACCCAGCGGGTTCGAATCACGACAACCCCAGCGGCATATTATGCCCTGTACTCATTACGGAAGCAGCTGGGCCTTAATGCGGAGGAAGGAGCGGATGAGTCGTTCCCGGCTGTGAGAGTGTCACTGGCGCTCACAGCACTTGGCGAATCGTACAAGAAAGGGTACCAGGACGTATTTCGACACCTAGTCGATAGTAAGAGGGCCCCTTCATGGCGGGGTACTCACCTCATGGCGCTTACTGAGCCAGACAGCGGTGTCTGGGCGAAAATAGACATCCGCAAAATGGCTGCAGAGCTGAGGCAGGCAGCTAAGTAGGGAGCACGCCGGGGGGGTAATAGCATCCGTTTCCTTATTTGGAATATCCACGCCTTCTCGGCAGGCAAGTTTGACCAAATTAAGGCTATTCGTGGATTGCTCAATCACGATGTTATCATCCTTACAGAGACGAAGGCGCCCGTTAATCGCACTCGTGCCAAGGAGCAACTAGTATTGCAGGGTTATAGCCACCTTGCATGTACTAGAGCACCGCGCACAGGCTCTCGAAGGTCAGGCGGTGTATCTGTGTTTGTGCGTGATGAGCTGGCCCCCTGCGTGAGAGAAGTGGGATTAACGAATACACCCGTTGGGGTGGAGATCGTCTGGTTGCGATTCCATAGCGTTCTCCCTGGAGGGCGGGCGCTCCTACTGGGGGCTGGTTACTGCTCGCCCCAGGGGTCCAGCGTTTATAGCAGCACGGATGGTAGTGGCCTGGCGTATAGCGAGGTCCCCGACGCTGTTTTTGGAAGCATTACTGGCGAGCTAGATAGACTGCGGTGCATGGGTGATGAGGTGCTTATCACAGGTGATTTTAATGCCCGTACAGCAGCTATTCTAGACTTGCCCGGAGTAAATGGAATAGGGGCACACTCCCTCGTCGGTGTTCCCCGTAAAAATAGAGATAGTGGGCTGAATTGTTTTGGCCGCCGATTGGCACAAATGTGTCTTGACACAGGGCTAGCCATTGTCAATGGGCGGGCACCTGGTGATGTGCCCGGGGGCTTCACTTACTCCAACTCTACTGAGGGTCACAGTTCTATTGATCTGTGCCTTGCATCTTACGGGCTCTTCGAGCAGATTAACACTCTCAAAGTCCTTAGATCTTACTTATGGGGAGAGTCTAATGTGCTGAGTGATCATCACCCGCTTATCCTTCGCCTGCATGCCGTTTTGAGGCCAGGGGCTGCACGGGGTCGGAAGCCTCACCTAGCACGTGAACGGATCCCTATTTTTGATATATCACGCAAGGGCCGCTTCACTGAGCTTTTTCGTGAACCTGATGGCATTATTACAGAGACCATCAACTCTCTCAAGGAAAAGCTTGTAGAAGGGGCACCCTGTGACGAAAGCATGAATGACCTGCGCACCCTTATCAATAAGTGTGCTAGAGAGACGTTCGGCGATGCACGGGGGATGGAAAAGTCTGTGAAGCGTGACTGGTGGAACGAGGACTGTGCAGCTGCGTGGAATGATATGATGAGTTTCCGTAAGGAGGTCAGGGACCCCGTCTCAGGCAAGCTGCCCGATCTACATAGGACTACCTGGAAGGCCAAGCACCGTGCCTTTAAAAAGGCTAGGAAGGCCGCTATTCAGGAGTTTGAAATGGAAGATATGCGGAGGAGGATTAAGGACGCCCGGTTCAACCCACGCGGATTGTGGACATGGCTGCGTGGGGGAAAACCACCTCCTTGCGGGATCTCAGATATTAATGCTTTTACCGAGCATTTTTCCAAGGTGCTTAATGGTACGGGAGAGACGAGGCAATGCCGCAATGAGGGTATTCAGTTTAGATGGCTGGACGAGGACCAGGTGACGCACAGACGGGAATTAGCTGCTTGGCTTAACGAGGATTTACGGAGGATGAAATGCTAGTGGCCTTAAGGCTATGCGCAACAATAAGTC